TGCTGAACCACACCAAGAGCAAAGGAAGCAAACCTCAATGCATCATTTAAGACTCCCCTCACACTACTGACCCTTTATAGATGCAGATCAATATAGTGTTCTCTACCATAAAAAGGAGGTTTCAATAAAAAACCAAAAACAAACAAACAAAATTCATACTGGAGGTGGTGATGCTGAGTGGAAATAATATAAGTCAAAGGAATATCCACATACCATGGTATAATATGGCAGTCCCTAAAAGAGCCATCAGATACCAAAGGAGAAAGTAGAACAATTAACAGATTCTCAGCTTGTTTGTAGTACTCAGTCACCTCTGGGGCATAAACCTCTGGCACAGAATCACATCATCCTTAGTCCATCACCTGCAAACTTGCTTGCACAAGGTCAGTCTTAGAGTTATCTGTAAGCCTACTTTCTTGTCTCCTACCTTCACCTCTGTATCTGATCAGTGCTCCACTGTCCCAGCTCGGTGCAGACCCGGAGAGTCAGCAGTGATCAGGGGTGAGCTCTGGCCATGCCCACTGCAGGTTTGTGGTCTGACCCTGAGGACATCTCAGAGCTGGTTATCACAAGGCAGCACCCACAAAGCCAGATCCTGCAGGAAGGATGGTCCTTTCCTGCAGGCAGGATTTTCAAACACTGTAAAGCTCTAATAAGTCATCTCACAAAGAGAGAACACTAATGCCTTCTAGGGATTATCTGTCAGGCCTGACTTTTCTAAGAAAGGATGTATTTATTTTTTGCTGTGACAAATTTAATTGCTCTGCCTCATAATGCAGCTGGGGACAAGACAGCTCTGCTTCTTACAAAAAAACTCAAATGTTCTTTTCCCCTTTATAGTTCAAGCACCTTTTTACCAGGTTCAAGGCCACAAAGCATTAAATAATTACTCACCTCATTCCCTCTGTTTGCAGTATCTCTGCATCAAGTTGTACAGCTTCTAGCACTTTTAGGAGTGTCAATAAAAAAAGCAGGGAGGTTGCCTGCTGCTTGTGAAGCTTTTTGGTACAAGTATGTAAGTCCAATGGGATCTTTTATGAGGCCTTATCCACAGCAATCTCACATCTTTACATTTCCTCACACTTACTTCCAGTAGCCTTGTTGCTTTTTTATTACCGCAGATCCATGGTACTTAAAAGCCTTCTCCTCCTTTTAGATTTCTACTGATGACCAGCAACACGGTTTTGCTGAAAATGAACTTGCTTGTATATCATATAGGTTTTCACATCCAAAATGCTTTTCTTATATAGGACAGTGACTCAGTCTTCTCTTTCTCTTAAGCCCTTTTACCCCAGCTAGCAGTTCTGGAAAATAAAATGTATCTAACACAAGATCTGATCTTTTAAGAAAATTATAAGAAGATATTTTTTTCTTTTATGGCAATTCATTGCATTTGTCTAATACATAATGTAATAAATTTGATATGTTACTCTTCTTCCATCTATGTTTTATCAGGTCGGAAAAGGACTTTGTACTTCTCTTTGTGTATTGACATGTTTGTGCTAAAGTAAGACCTGATAAAAGCCTGACTGGGGTTGACCACTGTTTAATGGACTTTATGAGACAATGACTCTTTTGTCATCTCCTGCTTTCTTGAGACTTTTTGAATTTCTAAGGACCTATCGCTGATAGTGTGCTACATATAAGATAATACTAACATGATAAGAATAATTGTTATATTGGCAAACATTAAAAAAAAAAAAGGCAATTGTCTGGAAAAATACCTTGTCAATTGTTTCTATATACCCACATGCCCATCTTGGCAAGCCTGGGGATAGCACACAAAATCCCCACCAAAGGCTACTTACTGTGCAGCTGCAGATATGCAGGATGATAGTCCTGTAAATACCTGTAAAATGAAATAAAAACCCAGCTTTTGGAACCTACAAAACAGGTTTTAATAATCTGCAGAACTGAGTTGAATTCCTGATGCATACCCTCCCCCTCTGGAAGGCCAAGTGACAGAAGAAAAAAATAATTGGGTTTTATCTGGTTCTGTTGGGGACAAATCTTGTCTCTAAAATAAGAGTCAATCTTAGTCAGGATGATGCAATTTCAAACCTAATAATTTGCTGAGGATTTTGAAAGGGACAACATCTGAAAAAGGTAGGGTTCTATTGGAAAATGAGAGTAGAGACAAAGGCACACAATGCAACCTAATGCTTCTTCTGAAGCTACCCTCAAGATAAACAGTCACATAAGAATTTCTGCCAAACCCATGGGATTCATCTCTGTGCTTTTCACTACAGTTTACAGTCCAAAAGTTTCTGATGAGGTGTTCTGCGTTAATAAAAAGGAATTGATTGCTTACAGAGGCTGTTTTTGAAGTTTTTGTGACAAATTACTCTGAATCACAACCAGAGGCAAGTGCAGTAGTCAAGATCATCTCCCTCTGACATTACTCTCACCATGTGCTAATAACATTGTTTGCTTTGCCAACATCCAGTAACTCCTCCTTGATCTTGCACTTTGGCACATTTGTCTTTAACTGGTCTTACATGAAGTTGTGTGTCAAAAATATGGAAGCAAATATACAGAGGCAAAGTTGAGGATGGGGAGTGTAAGCACAAGAAGAAATAACAGAAAAGAGACTGAAACCTGACTGGGTATCTGTGCTTCAGACTGCCTCTCCACCTACGGGGTATGAAACACCACAAAGAAGGAAAGAAAAAGTGAACATCACAGTGGACTTTAGTCTCTGGTTTGCAACAGTGAATATTCTGAATAAAAACTGAAATCAGACATGCCAGAATTGCCTGTTATTTTGAGTTGCAAGTGTAATGCCACATCTTCCTTAGCTGTGCATGTCCTTTGCTTCCTCAGTTCGTGTTGCTGCTGAGATAGATTAAGATGACTCAGTTTACCTTTCTCTTTGACCCTCTTGAAGCATGTCATAAAGGTGGATCAGGATCACTGCTTAATTTACTATCAATACCGATATCCTTAGCTGCAAATAACTCATTTCAGGTCAAATAGCAATGTTTTTTTATATGAATATTATTAATTTATTTTCATTCATTTAATGCAGTCCCTGAGTTATTTAAGCATTGTGGCACAAAAGCAGAACATAAGGATTATGACAACAGCTCAATGCCTAAAATTAATCTGGTCCACAATTAATTTGAGATTCCTCTATAGATTGTTATCCTTTGATTTACACAGATGGATGAAGGAGCTCAGAATGGAGAATGAAGAAGGAAGGGATAAAAGGAAAACATGAAGTATATAATCAGAGCATGATACACAGTTGAAATCAGCAAAAGTATGATGCATTTGAAGAAGTGAGCATGAACACAAAAAAAAAAAACATTAACAGTAACCATATGCAAGTCAAAAAACTCAGTTTATTGTTCTATTTGTGTACAATGAATTTGATCTATAACTCATCAGTCACAGCAGGGATTCCTAGCTACCACAGCCAGCTATAGCTGTGGCTTCATATTCTATACATGCACACACATAAGGTGTATGATCAGACATCTTTCCATCTCTATGGATATACATACCTACCTCTATGAGTATGCATATACGTGTACACGTAGGCATTTTTTTCACAACTCCTTTGGAAGTCACACAGATTAAGTGCAGTTCTTTTGAACAATGAACAACAAGGCAATTAGTGCCTGAGTACCATACATATACATATGTATGTTCAAGGGTAAGTCTGCCACAGTACAAAAAATATGTATTGGGATGTCGTGAGGACCAGTTAGTGCAGGAGACAACTGCAGCTGGAGTCTAATCCTGCACCACTTCCACCAGTGATGCTCTGGGTACAGTACGGGTGCCTGGCCAAAGTCCAGGAGAATACTTTATGTCCTCATCTGTGAAAAAGGGACACTGGTAGCAGTGAATCCTCCCCTCCAGTGCTGCAAAAATTTGTTGCCCTCCCTTCTTCTGTAATCTATACCATATTTACTCACTTCTCCCTGCAGTTTGGAATCTCAAACGCAGTCGACGCACATGCTGACGTTCTACGTTACCTTCAGTAGGCTCCCCCAGATACCTCCCTTCCTTGCTTTCTGGCCTGAAGAAGACAGCTTGGCAGCTTCACTCCTCCTTGCCATTTCCAGCCCTGTTACTGACATACACTTTATGGCTGAAGATGGGCTTCTGAAGCCTGTAGCTGCTCCTCAAAGTACAGAAGCTGATCCACTTCAAAGCAATCACTTGCTCTAGAAACCAGCTCCTCCAGGTCTCTCCTGATCTCCTCCTCACTGGCATTCTGCTGTCTTGCTTGCTTCAGGTAGCTGTACACAGCCTCAAATACCTCTGCTCCCAGCTTCCCAATGGCAGACCTGGGGATAAATATTATATAAAGGTCAAGTAAAAGTTAATATTAATACAAGAAATAGCTAGTACTGATAGTTTTAAATTTTGTAGGTACCTTTGATCAAAATGGTATAATGATGCACTTTCTTTGTCTGAGAGTACAAGGAAGTAGAATTTCCTGGGGAATTTCTCTATGATTGTTTTCTCTGTGATTATTATACAAAGATGCTGGGAGTAAAAACCTGGCCATAGTAAAATAACGCGAACCATGGCCATTGTTGCTGTTACTAACCCAGATTGCTTTTCATGCCAAATCTGACATACCATTTTATCTACAGCAAGCCCAGTATACACATGTAAGGAACCATTGTGCAAGCTCAACATGAGCTAACTGACAATTTTTTTCTTTTCCTACACCACTCTCCTTTTATCAGAAGACAGATCAGTATTTCAGTGACAAAGAATACACTCTCAGGATCCTAATGTTGATTTATAAAGATTATACATTTGCAAACTGTGAGACAGTGAACAAGAATTTCTTTTTCTGAAGGCAAACATCTTTAAATTCACGTATCATGAGCCACAGGTAACATAAAATTTTCCACTCAGTTATTGTTTCATAATATATTTATGAAAATACTAGAGTAATTTTCTTTCAGCATATCAAAAACTATCTGCCAGCTCTGCACGTCTGCCACAGGAACTGTGTTTACCAGGGTTTTTAGAAAAAACTGCTTCATCACACACACCAGAAGTCCAGTCTCCTCCAGCTTCTTGATGGAACCCTATGGGGTCCATCCATACAACATACACGACAGGACTGAGACCACTGAGTGGTTTGCCAGCACATATGCTATGTACTGCTCTTCATTCCTGGCAGAGTGCTCCTGCCAGGAGTATTTGAAGCAGTGGGTGATAAGATTTGAGGCTGAATGGGTTTCAAAACCACCTCTCTGACTGCCATTTATCAAGGAAATTTGAGGACACAAGTGGATTAGTGGAGCTGGCAAATGTGCTGGTACCACAATCCTGATTGACACACAGAAAAGCACGGCTGGCTGTGCACCCTCTTCCTTGTTGTTTTCTTTCACTAAGTTAGAGCAGTTGAGATTTTATTTCCTTTAACTTCAGACTTCCACATTTCAGGAGAAAGTATGCCCTTCCCTTAGTCGGAAACAGAGCTGGACTAATTGGGATCATCTTGTAGAGACATCAGCAATTTACATTTTAAAATGTCTTATTTTGAATGGGTAAAGTTGTGGTAAGCAGCCTGTCCTCCCACTAGCATTTTGCTAGGATTGCAAAAGAATTTTGGGTCTTGGAGTTGTTTTGTTTGTTTGGGGTTATTTTCAGAAAATCCTTTGTGGTATGAAGACCTCATCAATAATCCTACTCAGCACATCTGAACCAGGTTTCTCTGACACATTATTCTTACACACTAAAATAAACTTACGGTACCTGAGATTCTACTGCTCTCATGTATTTCTCAAGCATTACACCTACTGTGTCTTTAGCATGTTCAACCATTTGATGCCTTAAAACTCAGCATGGTGGAAATCCTTTTAGACAAAAATGAGGTGCTGGGAAGGGAACCATATAGTATTCCAAAATTTCAGCCTGAGTATCTGCACTCAGGTTCCCCTTCCATTAAGTCTCTGCTATAGCAAGCTTGCAGCCAGCAAAATTTCCACATTAATTATGTAAATTCTTCCATTCTTAGCAAACCATTGTGAATAACTTTCCTTTGTTGTTTCTCAAACTTAACTTGTTATGAAAGTATTGTTTCCTCAGTAATACATAACCACTTTACTAGGGTATAAGAAACTGCCAGTAAAAAGGGACAATACATCTAAAATTGCCTGAGCAATATCCTATGTGACTGCTCTGATCTCTTGCAGCTCAGTCATGCCCAGCTGTGATCCCCCTTCAGCCATGTTACCTCTCCTGCTGGCTCCTGACACAGAGGTGGATTGGAAATTTATGGCAGAGAAAGCCAAGACATGGGACCAGAAGCCACAAAGCCAAGCTGGAATCTCTGCAGGACCAGACCTGACTCAGTCCTACTTCCTGTAACTAGAAACTGATCTTTTTTTTCTACCAACAGTGTCCATTAGGGAAAACTAAAACTGTTAGAAGTGATTAATTCTCAGACACTGGAAAGTTAGGGATTAAATTAGCACAGAAAGATAAACAAGGAGTTGGAAAATAATGTACATCTCTTCATAAAATTACATCTCTGTTTATTGTTACTTTTATTTCATATGAAACCTGGGACACCTGCATTTATGGTTTTGAAATGGTTAAAAGCCTTACTAACAAACGTGCTCTAAGAACAAATACAGAGCTCCCATTTGGCCATGTTCTCTGATTTACTGGCATTTACTCTCTTTGTGCTATCTTATAACTCACTCACCTGTGGACTCACTATTTCCCCCCAGAAATGAGCCATCATCCCTTTCTCAGCCAAGATTTCACAAGCAAAGGCAATACCTGACATCTGGGCTTTCATCACTCTGACAAGCTTTGTGGGCCAGAACTCCATCCCCCACTGCCCTAAATTGCTTTTCACTATGGTGAAATCAGAGTTACAGCAGCCTCTAGCAGCCAAGGGTCTGACCCAGGATGATATAAACTAACATGCTCAAACATGGTATCTCAGATGGTTCGTTTTTTCATTCCTCTGTGTTACAAAGGTTTAGCTATACGGAGGGATCAATTGCTGGCATTTGAGCACAGTGTTTCCTAACTTTTCAGCATCGTGGTCATACATCGAAGTTTACAGCTCTCTGGTTGAACCCTTTTCTCCCTGCACAATGCAGTCACCAAAAGGCATCCACCGAAAGCAACAGCCCACAACAACTGAAGAAAGGCATTCTCTAAACTTGATGCTCGTTTTGCTTTACTAAAGTCAGAAATCACCTCCTTCCACCCAGGATTCACAGCAATTCAGCATGACCACATGGGTACCCAGTTGTCCTCTTTTATCCTAGAGTCCATGGTTAGGGCATTCACCCAGAGAGCTGTAAATCTGGGGGCAGAAGATTCAAACCCACACGGCCCAGAGCAGTACCATAATCACCTGTCAGACTGGGAGACAAAGGACTTTCCTTCATCTTCATTCTGATTGGTATGAAAGCAGATGTATAAGACCAGAAAAGAATAAGCAATGATGGAGGCCAGCTCTGGATAGTTTGAGGACCAAGGACAACACAAGAGGTATGTGCAAACATTATTTTTATGAAACAATCCCTGGATAAAATAGCATGAGCAGTCATTGGAGTCCTTCAGTCCTTGGGACTGAAGTCTGGGTTACCACGTCAGTGGCCTCACTGCAAACTAGAAGAGATTCAACAAGAGATGCAAGCACAACTTCTTTCACTGCTCCAAGCAGAGGACACAGGCCTGGGAACCTCCATAGCTATGCTCTGACCACCCCACAACTGGCTGGACAGCAGATATGGTCAGTCCCCACGCTGTCATCCAGAGAAGCTGCGGTTTGAAATACAAAGCCTCCTGCTGCCAGCTTTTGTGCAACACACAACCCACGCCTAGGGAAAATTAACTGGAACAAGCTCCAAAGGCTGTAGAGGCAGAGAAGATATCTATCTGATTTGTGGATAATGATGGGGTTTGGCCATGAGACAGGGACTTGGTTCTGTCAAGGGTAAGGTGCTTCTGAGCGTGTGAGAAGCAATAGGAATATCAGCAAAATCATAGGCACTTACCGCTTTGACTCATTGCCAGCCTGGGAGGGGAGCTAAACAGAAGCCTTGAGAACTGCAATTTTATACTCAGGGTGCCTAAAAATGTTCCAAGTCATGTAGTGGATCTGGGCCCAAATGAATTTATCAGGCTATCTGGTGATTTGCAGTTGATTTCCTACTCATGAGTGCAAAATGACTAAAATTTGACAATATAATAATGTTGTGTTCTCAACTGGCTGAGGAAGTTGTAAATCTTTCCCTGGGTGAACAAAGAATTCTCTATTATCCTGCAGGTCTTTATTTTGACTATTCCGCTACTAGCTACATATTAACATTTTCTTTCTGGTCTGGAGATCAATTACAATACACCTACCTTTATGCAGCACTGACAAAACCCACAAAACAAGATTAATGCTGAAGTTTGTGCTCCTCCGTGGGCGTTAGCAGCTGGGTTAATATCTCTCAACAGCTTGTCATTGCCTGCCTTGAATGATAACTCTGACACAAATCAGCAGCTAAGGGGGTTTTCAGCTTCTCACTTTCAAATGTCATTCAGCATGATAGCGACTATCATTTAAAACCATTCTGTTCTCCCTCATCCACCCCCAAACAAAGGCACACTTTTTGCTGGCAAATACTGGTGCCTCCAGGGAGCTGTGGTGTGGTCTGTGCTCGGAGCAAGGGCAGCTCCACAGCTGCCAAGTCACCACACTCAGCACAAGTCACTGCTGAGCACACCAGAACACCAAGGCAGCACCACTTTCCTCATACAAAGAAAGGCTAAGAGTCCTGGGGCTGTTTAGTCTTGAGAAGAGAAGACTAAGAGGGGACCTTATCAATGTCTACAGATATCTGAAGGGTGGATGTCAAGAATGGGCCAATCTCTTTTCAGTGGTGCCCTGTGATAGGACGAGGGGAAACGGCACCAAGTTAAAACAAAGGGAGCTCCACCTCAACATCAAGAAAAATTTCTTTACTGTGACTACGAGTGAGCACTGGAACAGCCTTCACAGGGAGGCTGTGGAATCTCCTTCTCTGGAGACTTTCAAGACCAGTCTGGACACATTCCTGTGTGGCCTGCCCTAGGTGTTCCTGATGTAGAAGGGGAGGTGGACTCAATTACCTTCAGAGATCCCTTTCCAACTTCTGGATTTATGATTCTATGATTCCAGAGAGACCCTCCTTGCATCAGCAGTAACATCTCACCTCTGCCATCGCAGGCAATGAACACACAGCTCTTAAGCCAACCACAGAAAATTCAGGTATTTCAAAGAACTCATGTTAGTCACGACTCCCTCAACGTAAACCTTAAAAAAGAAGCT